TGTTACATGTGAAACTAGATGAGAAAATGAGATTATCACTCTCAAAGCCCTTTAGGAGAAAACTGAGTTAACGTGACAATTCAAGTTCATGGAAGAAGATACTTGTGCAAAGTGTGCATGACTTATAAATTCATTTAACATTGACTTTGCAATTAAGTTTGCTTCCTTCCTCACAGAGAGTGCAGCAAGCTTGGGAATGTCGTGGGTAAATGAAGTAGCAATGAAGGAGGCTGAACTCATGCACTACTTTTTAACTACCACTTGGATAAATGTGTTTTTCCAAAGGTGTCCATGCATTCCAGAAGTCCTTATCACAAAGATACGACTAACATAAAAATAAAAATACAATACAGCTGGGATTTTAATTTTCAGAGGGAAAATGGCAACAGCAGAAGGAAAGGAGAAGCAAAACTGCCCCAGTCTGGTTAGGGAGAGGTAAATATCCAGCTCAGTTTGTTATTACTGTATCCTGGAGGGCAATTTCTATAACTCTGGTGGCATTTCAGGGCTGGTATATAATGCATTTAACAATGCTAATATGTTAATGCAATTTCATTTGTTCATTGCTGAAATGCCCTCTGAAAGACTCGTGATAGAAGTACAAGGATGGATGTGGATGAAGTGTGAATAGAAATGTGGATGTGGAAGCACCAGAGAGCAGCAGAATAGACAAGAAAATAATGTCCTATACTGATAACAGAGGAAATTATAGCCAGCAATAAAATTAAGAATGTGATTCCTCTGCCAACACCAGAAATCCTGCACTGACACAACCACAGACCAGAACTCCTCAGAGATGGGATGGGAAACGGGAATCAGTAGCTGATGTCTTTTGTCCTGAGCAAAAACAGTTCCTTTACAGATTCTGTCAACAAATCCCAGCTTCAGCTGGTGCAACTGGTCACACAAGTAGAAAAAGCAGAGCCTTGAACTTTCAGTGGCAAAGAAATGGTTGCAGGAGGAAGAGAAGTGATTTAAGTGTCATGACTTCCCCAGCATGGGAAAGTCCTTTGGCTTCATTCCTATGGCTTTTGCTGAGAATTGGCCTTCTCAAAAGTTGTCATGAAACTACTTATGCAGGATAAATGGATAAAATGAGGACAAAGTGATGATTTTCATGCAGTATTAAGCTTATTTTTGCCTTCATGTGGTGCCCTTATGTTTATATACCTAGATTATAAATCATATTTAGGTGAGAAGACACATTTGTGCAAGCCCCAGCCACTTTCAGCTGAGGTGAAATCCCCACACTTTGAAAGAGCTTCCAGAAATAAGTAACAATAGAAAAAGCAATAGAAAGAAAATTAGTCCAAGAGCAACAATCTCTTGAAATAAGCAGAAATATGTTTGGAGATCCTTGAGAGGAAAAGGTGCTTAGATGTCTGCAGAGTCCAAAACCACAGAGCCAAGAGGGCTGAGATGGAGTTTGGGGGATTTTACACCTCCAGCCACTCCATGGCTCATCCAGTCACTGACACAGCACTGAAAATCTGCTGTGGTCCAAAAATCCACTATTATTATAACATATACAGATGTGGCTGGCTTGTTAACTGAGCTGAGTGCTTTAATTTCTGGAGTAAATAGGAAGGAGGAAATACTTTTGATCTTGACTTTGTTTACCAAATTAGTTTATAAAGTCTTTTCCCCTAATTTTTTCACTATGACTGATCAAGGTATGATGTAAGAAATAAGAATTACTGATGATATAAAGATCCTGCTGTTCAATTAAAACAGGGCAATGAATAATTGGGAAGAAGCAGAGAGGGAAGAACATTCTGATGAGCAACCCTTCTCAAGAGTCACAACTAGCAAATCCCAAAGACAGTAAATTCTGCAGTGACAAATTCCAGCTGCATCTAAACAAACCCTTTTTGCCACACTACAAGTGTTTAAAGACAGTTTGCAATACTGAGACTGGAAGGGTTCATCACAATCCTCTGGAAATACAGCATTTAAACTCATTTTTTTCATGTTTGGAAGTTTCCTACTCTTCATAATGTAATTGTAGCTTAATTGCATGCAGCATCTCAGTTAAAGAGTGTGCAAAAAGTGTAAAGCTTTGCCATCTGGTCACTACAGCACTGCTGACAGAGAATATCACCACAAGGCACCAAAGGTTTTGCCAGAATTCAGATTAATGGAAGTTTAATAACTTTCCTTTGCAGCAGTCACTTTGTATCAAAATATTAAATTTCTATTTTGCATTTATAATGTGCCTTTGAATCAGAGGAATTAAAAAAATAAATAAATTATATAAAGAGATAATTTTCTTCATTATTGAAATAAATTCTTCTTTGGGTAATGAGGGATCGAAGAGTGTATCGAGAAATCAAGAACATTATTTTGTTCAAACGTAAATCTTTGTAAGTCCAGCAAGATGCAAGGATTTTGATTTCCAGAGAGACCCAAGCCAGGCTGTTTAGTAGGAGAGAGAATATTTGGTATTTTGGGTGTCTAGCCATGAGCAGCACAAACAGAAGTGCTCACAGCAAGCTCTGTCCAGAGCCTGATCCAGGGAAGCATTCCCCGAGGGTGCAGCAGCTCGAAAGTCCTGCCTGTTGCACTTTTAGCTCCATTTCTGAGCTCTGGGGTTAACTTAGTCTTAACACAGCACAGATTAACTTAAGTGCTCTGCACTAATGGGATCACAATGCTGGAAACTCTGACCTTGCCCTCCCTGACCCTTGAAGCATCCTCAGACTGTAACTGTCTTTGAAAGCCTTTAGCAAGCATTACTAATTATAACTCCCTTTTTCTAGGTTTAAAAGCAGTGAAACATGGCTTTTAGCCTGACTGAGGCAATGTTGGAAGTCTCAAGAAGAGATCTCTCATTTCTCAAGCCCCAGAACTTTTGATAAATATAGAACTTTGCTATCTTGGAATGATACAAGAGAACTTCCCGTTACTAGATTAGATATTCAAGGCTCACACTGAAAATTATTGACTTCAGGTATAACTTTATCTTATTAAAGCATTACAAAAGACAGGAATAACAATTGATGAACATGGGCATCACTGCCTCAATATGCAGTTTCTGAAAACCTTATTAGGTTTCAAACTTAGGCTGTCAACTGCAAAGACCGCAGATACAACTAAAAAACTTTCACCACAGAAATAAATTCCCAGGCATACCTTTCTAGTATGTGTGTATGTAGAAACACACACACAAATATATCTCTATTTCTATCTATTAATATCAGAAAAATCCTCCCTCACAGCAGAGCCCCTCCCCTGCCCCTAAACTGTACAATTTAATGTTTCAGCAGCTTTATTAGTGAAACTATAGGGGCTATTCATCCACAAACATAACTGACATTAAACAGAGCAGCCCTTTTCCATCTGTTGTCTTGTCCCAAAATAATGAAGGAGCACAGTGACCTCACAGCAGAGGCTGAGGGGCTCTGACACAAACTTGAGCCACGGCTTCCTGACCAAATCCAACACTGCAGCCACTCATCTGCCTCACCACATGCTAAACTTTCACTTCAGAGTGATCACACACATAAATCTGTGCCTCCTACACGCCTTGCACTCCTCAGCAGCCTCGCTGAAAGGATTTATCTCCAAGTCCAACTGCCCAGGGACAAATGCATTTCTGTTCAGTGAAGGGGTCTGACCCACCCTGCAGGGAAGAAGTGCTACCAGCATGTGCAGCAACAGACCCAAAATCTCCTAACATTTCATTAAAACAAATTTGATTGTCTAGTGGATTGAAGGCTACTTGGGATGGGGAGATACGTGTTCCCTCCTGAAAAGGCTGTGTGGTGGGAAGTGGGGCTGTACTTATAGGAATGAGAATACAAGGCTGAATTTCTCACACATTTTGTTTAGAAGTCATGTTGGTGCACTCTCTCTCCCCCTCCACCCCCATCCCCCTGCCTTTCCCTCGTATCTTTTCTCCAGCAAAGATTTAATTATTTAATGCCAAGTGCAATAACATCAGGAGCAACCAAGAGCATTCTTCCATAGAATACTCCATAGCACACTAATTAGGACTCTTCTGAGAGGTTTAACAATCCCTGTAGGCAGAGGGGGGAGCTGGATCTGATCTAATCCCAGTGACTGCCCTCATTTCTGTGCTGCTGCAAAGGGGAGCAGAAGCTTCCATGGCCTCCTTTGGTGGGAATGGTGCTGCCCATGCCTCACTCCAGCTCTGGCTGGGGCACTTGTTCAGCTCCAAGGGGCTGGTTAGTGTCCTTCTGGTTGGGAACGGCGATAAAGAACGACACGGACTCTCAAGGGAGTCACAACAGGAGAATCTCTCTAGTTTATTGCTCTAGGCTTGTCTTATAGACAGATATGTGGAAAACTCTTATTGGTTAGCAAAGTGCTATATCACCATCGTTGGTCAGGGGCTCACCACCCCCCTGACTTTCTCCTGCAAGGAAAACAAGAGGACAGACAAACAGCACCTGGCAGTTGTTTTCTGTCTCTGAGGATTGTTTTGAAATCCTCCCATGAATTTCACAGGCCAGCTTCTCAGGCAGGACTGATAGGCCATGGGGCCTGCAGTTTCTGCAGCTCTCTGCAGCTTGCTCCAAAGCTAGCATCCATAGGTTAGGGCTGAGTGGAACCTCTGTGCCTCTTGTTATTCCTTGGGTAGGTTCCACAGCCTTTGATCCCAGCTCTTCCTCCTCGGAAAAGGAAACTTGTGTGCCCAGGTCAGAGCAGTGAATTCCACCAGGAGCAGGCTGGTGTGTGGGGCTCTCTGACTCTGTCTCTCTCTCTGGCTGGATGGAGGAGGTACAGTTTGCAATCAGAGGAGGAAGCCACGTGGAGAACACATTTTTATTTATGGCAGAGCACAGAGTCAGAGGCTGGCCTGGCTTGGAACAAGATAATCTTTGTTTAAAGATTATCTTGTTCCAATCCCCTGCCATGGGCAGCTACAGCCTCCACTTTCCCAAGCTGTTCCAAGCTCTGTCCAGCCTGGCCTTGGGCACTTCCAGGGATCCAGGGGCTGCTCTGGGCACCTGTGCCAGGGCCTCACCTCCCTCCCAGGAGGACTTTTTTGGACTTTTTAATGTGGGTTCCTTCCCAAAAATATCCCATCTAAGCTGCCTGCTATCAGCCCCTTCTGTCTCTCCACACCTTTGTCCAAAGTCTCTGTCCAGCTCTCTTGGAGCCCCTGCAGGCTCCAGAGGATGCTCTGAGGTCTCTTGGAGCCCTCTCCTCTCCAGTTTTGAGCTTCTGACCTCACCACGATGCCATCATCACACTTCAGGCAGTCTGAGTGGGATTTTGCAGTGCTTGAGAGAAGCATAAACAAACCAGAGTTCCAGCTCTGGTCTGAACATTGTGTCTGATTGCAATGAAATGTGTTACTTGAGCCATTGGCTTTAAGTGACATAAACCAAAGGCACGAAAACATTTCTGAAGTGCTGATAATGCTCAGTTACCTCTCACCTTATTTCAGATCACTGATGTTTGTAATATTTCTGCTCTTCCTTATGTTCCTCAGTATTGCCATTGAAAATTCAGCCATAATTAGCTACCATGAAAACTAAGAGCAGTAAATAAGGACTGTTTATTATTAAAGCATGAAAGAGTTTCAAATTGCAATGCTTATTGAAATCAACATAAATCTTTTCCCCCCTCCCAATTAATCTAATCTTAGAAGATCTTTCCATTAAAAAAGAAAGTTGCAATATGAGTATTATTATACTCATATATGAGTGAGTGCTATCTCACACTATACAGTTGATCTTTAAACCAGACCAAATGTGAAATTTTCAACATATTTTAAAGTTGTTGCTCTTTATTTTTACCAATTAATGACTCTTTTGAACTTCACCTCATGATACTTATTAGCCTTCTTAAATATACTGGAGGTGATACATTCTTCATTTATGTCACTCATTAATCACTGCTCAATAACTGCTGTCAGGAAGCTGCTGCCTTTGATGTCTCATTGTTCAGTGCCTTCTTTCTTGTTGGTAGTTAATCAAACGCTTCCCTGCTGTGGTCAAAGCACAGCTTGAGAGCAGTTCCAGAGGTGATCCAGCATTAAAACATGGAGCTGATTGGAAAGGTCCAGTTTTTTTTTATATATCATGCCCAAGTGAAAGCTTTCATTTTGCAGTCCATGGCAAATGAGGCATTGTTGTCCTGCTCTTGTGACTGGGAAAACAGAGCTGAGTTCTGCCATCTAACTGAAGCACGCTGTAATGACTGACTAATTAGCTGCAGTTATGAAATGAACTGCAAAGTTTCCACTGTCAATCACGGTGAAATAATGTTTCTTCTTATTTTTTCTTTTTTTTTCTTTTTTTTTTTTGTTTTAAGAGTGGAATTAAAATAATTGTCGAAATGTATTAAAGCTTCAGGGGGTCGTAAGTCTAATGAAAGCATCCAACAGAGAAAAATATCTGTCCTGGGATAAAATGAACATTTTCATTTCTAGTGTTCAATCCAGATTTAGACTGAAAATATTCAGAAAGAGATTCTGCAAAAGCAAGTGTGGGCAAACTGAAAACAAGGGAAATAGCAACTTAGAGGAGAGTGAAAGACAGGAATGAAATGGGACCAGGAACAATCATTGAAAAGGAAATTAAAAAGAAATTAAAAACAGATTATTTGGAAATAATGTGTGCTTTTATAGTAGTTTGGCACAGTCTAAAAATAAATCCTCAGTGTTTGGAGTCTTTGCAAAGATGATAAAATATTTCTGTTTCTCTTTTCAGAGATCTAACACTAATAACAGGACATGCCAAACAGTTGCTGCTGTTCAGCTGAAAAGATCTCTCAGATTAATATACACTGCCATCATCTTCCACTTGTGAGTGAATCCGTAAGTTTATGTAAGACTAAAGTAAAGAAAAATAAAAGTACAGAAAATAAACATGTTGTGCTTTTTAGAAAGAAGGTATTACACTGCCTAATCATTTAATAAATAAAATGGTATTTAGCAAGTGGTACCTAAGAAGAAGTTGAGGCATTTTTAGCCAGTTAAGATCTTCTGCTATTCCCTGAGCTCCTCTCCTGTGTAAAATCTTGTCACAATCACCAATTGCTGGAACACTCAAATTAGTAAGACAAGAACTTGAGTAGGAAAGGGGGTTGAAAGTAAGTGATCATTAAGGTCCCTTCCAAAGCATTCTAAGATTCTGTGATGCGTGATTTTAAATAAAACATTGTAAAAGTCTCTTTGTAGTAGGGACCTCACAACCCAGACATGGCACAGATAATGACAAACCCCATCTGTACAGCTTTGAGATCTCTGTGTTGTTTCATTTTGCTAGAGCTTTCATGAGAACATAGACCTATAATTAAAATAAGAACTTGGTGGACTGTTTAGAGTCTAACTTTCACTTTGTTACCTGCTATTTCTCATTTTTCTCTCGTTTGAAACTGAACAGAAAAGATTATGCTTTAGCCCGCAGGCACTTTCTTTAGATTTCTTTTTTTTCAAATGACTGAGGGAACAAAATATTTCCCTTTCTCTAGACACTGGCATTCCACCTGACTCAAATCCCCGTGACCTCAAGCACAATTTTCCCCTGTTCAGGACTGGATACAAAAGCACTGAGTTAATCCATGGTCTGTTCACTGCGGGCACAATGCGCCTCTTGGTGCGCCTTGTGATCTTCAGAAGGGCAGAGTAAGAACCTCGAGAGAATCTGAGGGCTGTAAGTGCCTGATGCACCAATGGCAGGCACTGACCTGCTCAAAATGCTGGGGATAATTTCCCCAGGCTCCCAAGCAGTGACACATCTCCCCTGGAACCTGCAGCGCTGCAAACATTCCCTGCCCAGCAGGGCCTGGGCTTCACTGACCTGCTCAGGGCTTGTGGACATGATTCTCTGAACCTGAGACAATATTCAAGCTCTCAGTCGCTGACCATTCCCAATGGAGAGCCTTGGGAACCATTCTTGCTCCAAGATTATTTGTGTAAATAAAAGATCTCTTCCCAAAAACAAGACACAGAAGTTCTGAGAGTGTTTTCTCTCTTATCCCACCAGAGGGATGAGAGAGGTGTTGTCCCTTCTACCCATCAGGGTGACCTGTTCAGAGAAGCTTTTAAAAAGGTTAACAAAACTCCACAATAAAGGCTTTTGACCTCATGAAAGTGGCTGCAGTGTAGATAATTTCTGGGGACCCTCGCTCAGTACTTTGTGTCCTCACAGGGGATCACACTCAGGTTCTGTGATATCACTGCTTGGGTTTGTGATATCAGTGCTTGGGTTTGTGATATCCATCTCAGGTTCTGTGATATCCACCTCAGGTTCTGTGATATCCATCTCAAGTTCTGTGATATCACTGCTTGGGTTTGTGATATCCAGCTCAGGTTCTGCGATATCACTGCTCAGGTTTGTGATATCACCGCTCAGGTTCTGTGATATCACTGCTCTGGTTTGTGATATCCATCTCAGGTTCTGTGATATCCAGCTCAGGTTCTGTGATATCGCTGCTTGGTTTGTGATATCCACCTCAGGTTCTGTGATATCCATCTCAAGTTCTGTGATATTCATCTCAGGTTTGTGATATCACTGCTTGGGTTTGTGATATCACTGCTCAGGTTCTGCGATATCACTGCTCAAGTTCTGTGATATCAGTCTTGGGTTCTGTGCTATCACTGCTCAAATTCTGTGATATCACTGCTCAGGTTCTGTGATATCCACCTCAGGTTCTGTGATATCACTGCTCTGGTTTGTGATTTCACTGCTCAGGTTCTGTGATATCACTGCTCAGGTTTGTGATATCACTGCTCTGGTTTGTGATATCCACCTCAGGTTCTGTGATATTCATCTCAGGTTCTGTGATATCACTGCTCTGGTTTGTGATATCACTGCTCAGGTTCTGTGATATCACTGCTCTGGTTTGTGATATCACTGCTCTGGTTTGTGATATCACTGCTCTGGTTTGTGATATCACTGCTCTGGTTCTGTGATATCACTGCTGGCAGCTTAGCAAAGTCCAGAAGAAATCAGGGACATCACGATCCTGACTCCATGTGATGAACATCTGAGGAATGTTTCAGTGGCCATTTGGAAAGAGGAGGGAGCCAAAACCAAGGATTTTAGTGAGATTTAAGTTCAAGCAGCTGATTCTTTTTCTTTCCTGGGCACCAAATCTTTGGTGCTGTATCACTGCCTCCAGTGAAGATCCCGAATATTTTGCAGGAATATCACAACAAATGACTCAGATTCTGTGCAGCTGTTTAATGCATCAAGCCTCAGTCCAATGAAACTGCAGCAGGATGAATTTGGACTCTTATACTTTGGGGACTATGATGGGTTTTGCTCCAGATGCAAAATGACAGACTGCTGATGGCTCTTTACATATATTTTGCAGACTGAGTTAATCATAAATAATTATGTCAAATAAAGCAAATTCCCCATAGCCTTTCCAAGGAGGAAACTCTGAGAACATGAAAAAAAAATCAGCCAACTACAAAGTATAGAAAAGAACTAACTCAGAGGTGCTTCTTTCTTTTTTTTTTAATTGAGTTGATTTGAGAGAAAAATAATAATAAGAATAAGAATAATAATAAGAAGAAAAATAATAAGAAGAAAGGTGGCTCCTGAAGCTTTTCAATAGGTTTTCACCAAGGTGTCCAAATTTTAGGATTTTTTGCATTCTGAGCCAAGTGCAAGAAAAAAAAAATGCCCTTCTCAATGCCCACACTGTGGAATCAAGAGGATTCTTTTAAGTTAATCTAGTACAGCAGTGAGTCTATTCATATTAGGAATAATTTATTTTCTATCTGCTTTCAGGAAATATAATCCAACTGGGAGAAAGAATTTGACTCAGATTGCATTATTTTTGACCTAACAAATCAGGAAAAGTTCTCTACTCTCTCATAACCAGTATTTTAATGTATAATTATATGAAGATTGAAAACCCCTTTTTCTCACTTTTAAGCTGTAGGTGACAGCTGCTTTTCAGGACACAGGCTGTCCTGGTGTGTTGTCACAGTCTGTAAGATGTCTTCAGTATCTCTTTGTCTCTCTTTTCTTAAGCTTTTTTGTCTTCCTGTGATTTTTCTTCCCCTTTTCCTTATTCTCTTTTTCATTGTTCCTTATTCTTCCACATTTCCCTGTGGGCTTCCAGCTGACTCTCTCCTTGGATTCCATTCTCCTCTCTGCTTTGTCTGCAACCATTTCCATTTTTAAATGGAGCTGTCCTTATTAGCTGCCTTCCTTGCTCCAGACTGATTTTCCTGTGCTTTGCCTGTTTGACAATCCAGTCACACCCCCAGGGTTGAGCTGCAGCTCAGTTTTACACAGATTTTTACACAGAGTTTTACACAGAGCTCTTCATCCCCCAGCAGAACTTCCCTTCTGACCCCCTCACAGACCAGCAGCCCTGCCTGCCACATGCCCTGACAGCACAGCCAGCAAATTTGGCATAAACCCCACTTATTCAATCTGTATTTTAGGAAATCTCTCTGCATGCCAGCCCCTTCTCCAGGGAGAAACTGCTTTTCATTTCTGGAGCATTACCTGAACTACAGCCATCCTGCCCCACTCCCAGGAATGGAGAATGTCTCTCATCCTTTACTCCTTATTGGGAAATCAATACCTTAAAATATCCAAACCCACATTTGTTTTACTAGTTTGGTCTATTTTACTCATCACACTCCTTCTCCTCACCATTTTCTTATTATATTTTATATTTTTCCCGCATTCATCAGTTCTTAGAGTTGCCTCTTATTGATAGGAAGAGAGGAAAACTTCCCTGCAAGCTGGACTGGCTCCATAATTCCAAAATTTTCCATGCACAGCCTCCAAATCCCCCTCTGCAGTAGATATTCGCTGCTTGTCTCAAACAGGAAACTACAGAAGAGATCACATCATCAAGAAGAAATCAAATTAAATGGAAAAGGCGCTTTTGACATTAATAATGAAAGAAAGGTTGATCCAGAGGAAAACCTGGATCATCACCAGGAATTTGGCCTTCCCTAAGTACACAAGATGGATTGTGCTTATTGTGGGAATTTCTGTGGTTCTGAGGGGGCTGAGTGTCTGTGGGTTTTTTTATATAATCACCTTCCCAGTGACTGTGAATGAAGTTTGGAAGTTGGCCTAAATCTGGGAAGTTTAAATATGTTCCAGCTACAGTCGGACTCCATTACCTTGGAAGTCTTTTCCAACCTTAATGATTCCAGGATTCTGTCCAGGGATACCCCAGCTGAGTGATTTGTTCTGTTTCTTGAGGGAAAACTCTGGCAAAGTCCAGTACTGATGGTTACTTATTAAAGAACTTCCCCTCAGTATTCCCTTTACCATAGGAGTAGGAAGTGCTTAGAGTGACTACAAAACTGACTTTAAATTAATCATGTAACAAGACGTAGTTTCATGGGGGCACAATATAAAAACATAACCTGCATAAGTAAAAATACAATTTATAAAAAGCCACTGCATGTGTGTGTCTCTTCATACAAATCTAAGAGTAGGTACAGGTACTTAGGTTGAATAAAACTTATTGACAGATATAAAATCTGGCTCTAGCAGAAGAGCAGTGTGCTGCAAAAGGCAGTATTTCAGCAGTATGAGGGACTTTTACCCATTCTTTTTTATCAGCTGTTTCTAACTTGAACAAAAAGTGTTATCCATCATCTTGACTCAGAACCCAAAAGCACAGTTTTCACAATATTTCCAATGAGAGGAGACATACCCAATTTTATCTGGAACTGGCACAGTTACCTCCCTAAACCTGTACCAGAAATTGTGAGCTGAACTGAAGATGGAGGTAAATAATCCAGATATTAATGCTGTGCTTTTCCATCAGGTGATTGCTCTTGTCATGGCAGGCAAGACAAGGAACTTGAGCAAGATCAGGGTTTATTTCATCCAAGAATGATTCTTTCCCAAAGAAAAAATGCTTCTAGCTGGGAAGTTTCTAACAGGTCCCACCTAAACAGGTCTAGCTTTAGAAAAACCCTTGCCTTTCTATGCAAAACAACATCACTGACCATTTGAAAATTCCTTACTCTTTAAACATGACCAGACTTAGATCAGGTTTGAAATTCCTTGCAAGAAGAAAAATGTTTATTGAATGAACAAGACCATTTTTTTTAAGCAATGTGTATAACTGAATTGTTAGACTTTAGGGTTTAATTAATGGCAAAACTCATCTAGCTGAGGAAAAGAAAATCAAGATAAGTTATAAAAGACTCTTATTATTTATACAGTTCCTATTTTTCCTCAATTAATTACATTAATGTGGGGTATATTATGTTTAAGTTAACACAACAGTACAGTTTAGATCTGTGCAATTGTTAATCCAGTTATTTTATGTGAGGAAAAAAGATGTTTTTAATGCAACAGAGACAGCTCTTCATTCCTTCCATGCTAATCTAACACTTGTTTTGAGACTTCCTCTCCAAGTGATTTTCAGTTAAAAAGGAGATGTTTTTGGTTATATTTCCATGGGAAACACCACAATTTTCCTTCATCCCCTTTGCCTCTCCAGGCTTTCCCCACAGGTGTGCAGGAAGATATCTAAAGCCCTGCAAGGATACAAACAGAGGTGGCTGAACTGCATTCCAGATTTGTGGGTTTTGAAATGCAAATTGGCAGCAACAGTTGTCCAAGGCTGTCACACAATCAAGAACTCCCAGCTCCTCTGCTCCTGAAATACAGCGAGATGCAAGCAAGGACCAGCCAACCCTAATCAAGAAGAATGTTTCTGTAATTAGATAGGATTGTTTGTTAGCCCAAGAAATTAGAGGCAGCTCTTAACAGCACAAAAAAATAACAGAGTTTATTGCCTCTGTAGTAATTTTTTTCTCTTCACAGTCTCATGATTTGCAATAACATTCTGATTTTCATTTTAAGCTGTTTGGATTTTGCTGTTCCCATTGCCTTATTTTTGGGATGTAACGAATTAAGGTAATGAAAAGATCTTAATAATTTAGCATCACAATTATGCTGTGGTAGTTTGGGGGGGGTGGGGGTGGTTCTGTTTGTTTGGGTTTTTTTTAATAAGAAAGCCAAGAAAATCTGCTCTTTTTGGATATCTCACCTTCCCCTTTCTGTGTCTGTTCCCCATTCACCAAGTGCAGCCATTTCACCTTATGAATGCAATGAGCTGAAGAAGGAACTACAGTAAAAAAAGAAATATTGGTGTTTCCAGGTATTTGACTATTTCATCTTCCTAAAAGACTGGAACAAAGCAGGTGTCCTTGTAGCATTAAGGTCAGATAAAACAGGCAGCTGGCTCCTTTTTGCAGTGGTTTCAGCATCCTTCCTAAAAGGACAGCAAGACATGGCCTCTTGTGGAGGCAGAAAGGATTTGTGTGTCTCAGCTCACATTCTGCACAGGGAGGCATCAGGGATATCAGGGATAGATCACCCTGGAAATTGGGACACCTGCAGAGAAAACCTGTCAGGACCAGGCAACACAAAGATAGTTCAGGTTCCTCTCACACTCAGTGAGTTTTAATGTACTCCAGGAGGGATCATCTCAAAAAGATTAACTGGCCTTGGGACAAGAGTGGCTACAAAAGCCGAACCTCTGTGGAAAAAATCAGTTTTGATGGCAACTCTGAAATGCTTCACCTGGATGAGGAGGAATGGCAGCGTGACAAGAGGTCATGCAGGTGACCAGGACATCATCAATTATTTCCTCTCCTCCTGTGGCTGCTGGAGGTTTGATGGTGCTGAATGTGAGACTCCATAAATATGTCTAGAGGGATTTGAGAAAAAATGGCTCCTTGCAGCTGCCTCATTCTTTTCTAGATGGAATTTGTTTCCAGTACCTTATGTTTCAAATCTTTTCTCTGAGCACTTTAAAGGGATTTGCCCTTTAAATACCACCAAAAAATTTCAGCAAAGACTAATTATAACCACCTCACACGATTTCAGTGCTCACATACATTGTAAAAGACTTACTGAGAAGTTGGTACCTCTCCAGCTATAGGCATTTACACCCTGCAAAATGACACATTCCAACTGTACACTCTGACAAAAAAAAACCAATTTATTTTCAGTTGTCCTTGCATAAATAAATTAAAAAGAATTAAAAATAAAAAATAGCCAAAAGGAAAGCTGAAACAGAAGTCAGAATGGTGTTGGGAAGTTGTCTGAGGTGTCTTGGTGTGATGTAAATGTGTGTGTGTGACTGAGAGCCCCACTCAGGCTCTGGCACTGGAGCCACTTCTGGTTCCCTGCAGCTCCACCTGGGCAGGCAGAGGGTGAAGGTCCCATCTGAGAGCTGTGTGTGTGAAACTGCATTTCTGGAAATGGCACCAGGCTGGCATTAATGAATAATGAAAGCAACTCAGTAATGATGAACCCAAATATCCACTGCAGAGACCTTGGTCTTTGCGGCCTTGGTGAGAACTTCAGCTGTTGAATTTCTGCTGTGGGAACAATTTGCAGGAGGATTC